ACAGGGACACAGGGGACACAGGGGACACAGGGGACAGGGGACACAGGGGACAGGGACACAGGGGACACAGGGGACAGGGACAGAGGGGACATCTCGGTCTCTCCTGGGTCTCTCCTGGGTCTCTCTTGGGGTCCCTTTTGGGTCTCTTTTGGGGTCTCTCTTGGGGTCTCTCCTGGGGTCCCTTTTTCCCTTTTGGGGTCTCTCCCGTGTCCCCCCGTGGTCCCTTTTGGGGTCTCTCCCGTGTCCCCCCCGCGGTCCCTTTTGGGGTCCCTCCCGTGTCCCCCCATGGTCCCTTTTGGGGTCTCTCCTGGGGTCCCTTTTTCCCTTTTGGGGTCTCTCCCGTGTCCCCCCGTGGTCCCTTTTGGGGTCTCTCCTGGGGTCTCTCTTGGGATCTCTTTTGGGTCTCTCTGGGTCTCTGTGGGGGTCTCTCCTGGGTCCCTCATGGGTCTCTCTGGGTCCCTTTTGGGTCTCTCTGGGTCCCTCCTGGGTCTGTTTTGGGGTCCCTCTTGGGGTCTCTCTTGGGGTCTCTCTAGGGGTCTCTCCTGGGGTCCCTTTTTCCCTTTTGGGGTCTCTCCCATGTCCCCCAGCCGCTGTGGGGTGGCGCTCACCTGCGGGTCCACCAGCCAGCCGTGGTACAGGGGGATGTTGAGCAGGTCGAACACGATGCACTCGGGGGTGTACTCGAAATCCGAGACCCCCGTGAACCTCACGTTGACGTCGAGCCCCGTGGAGAGCTTGGGCAGCACCGTCATGGTGTCGCTGATGTTCTGGGAAAAAACACGGGGGGATCGGTCCTGGGGGGGCCACCCCAAATCCTGAGCTCCCCGGGGTGATGGGGTTGGGTGTTTTGGGGCTGTTGGGTGTTTTGGGGCTGGGTGATGTTTGGGGTCTCTCCAGGATGATGGGGTTGGATGTTTTGGGGCTGTTGGATGTTTTGGGACTGGGTGACATTTGGGGTCTCTCCAGGATGACAGAGTTGGATGTTATGGGGCTGTTGGATGTTTTGGGGCTCAGTGACGTTTGGCAGCTCCCCAAGATGACAGATTTGGATGTTTTGGGGCTGGATGACATTTGGGAGCTCCCCGGGATGAGATTTGGAAGTTTTGGGGCTGTTGGATGTTTTGGGGTTGGGTGACATTTGGGAGCTCTCCAGGATGATGGGGTGGGTGTTTTGGGGTTGGGTGACATTTGGGAGCTCTCCAAGATGACAGAGTTGGATGTTTTGGGGCTGTTGGGTGTTTTGGGGTTGGGTGACGTTTGGGAGCTCCCAGGGATGACAGAATTGGATGTTTTGGGGCTGGGTGATGTTTGGGGTCTCCCCAGGATGACAGAATTGGAAGTTTTGGGGCTGTTGGATGTTTTGGGGCTCAGTGATGTTTGGGGTCTCTCCAGGATGATGGGGTTGGATTTTTTGGGGCTGTTGGATGTTTTGGGGCTGGGTGACATTTGGGGTCTCTCCAGGATGACAGATTTGGATGTTTTGGGGCTGGGTGCCCTTTGGGAGCTCTCCAGGATGACAGATTTGGATGTTTTGGGGCTGTTGGATGTTTTGGGACTGGGTGACGTTTGGGAGCTCTCTGGGATACAGATTTGGATGTTTTGGGGCTGGGTGACATTTGAGAGCTCCCCAGGATGACAGATTTGGATTTTTTGGGTCTGTTGGATGTTTTGGGGTCGCTCCTCACCTGCTGGAAGTTCAGCTGCAGCGCCTCCGAGGTGTCCCGGGGTTGGGTGTTGAGGATGCAGTTCCCTGCGAGGCAGCGGAGTCACCCCA